AATTAAACAGGCAATAATGATATCATAAATTAGTCATGTTCGTTTAAACAAAGCGATATTTTAATAAAAGTGACACAGAAGTGCATTCTACAGATTTGGGTCATTCAGGGATGTCTGCGCTGAAATTGATCCTTTATGTAAGTGTCTTCAAGAGGTAAATAAGATTCTTCAGCGATATAGAAAGTTTGAAAAGAAAAAATCACTGTCATTTTCAAATTAGATTGAAAACCCTGTTAGCTGAATGAGTTTTAATTGCATTGAGAAGAAACCTCGGCAATACACAAAATAAAATCAAAGCTACTACTGAGGAAGTAACATCAAATCTTATCTACTGCTTATCTGGTTAAAAGCAACGTCAACTGCTGCTGAATGGTGAGGACAAAAGATAAATCTTCCAGATCCTCATAGCACAGAGATTTCATAATAGATGTTTCTAATGACTATTCAAGAAGCTTTTTAATTATGAAATACTATGCATGCTTCTGAATAGCCAGGGAACTGCACAAAAATGGAATTGGCAGCAAAGTGCACAAATAAATCATTTCAAAGACAGAAAGAAAATTCAATCTTAGTAACAGTTATGTAATAGGAACAAAATATGTATAATAAAAACAGGACAACGTTTAGTCTCTTAAAAATATAATTCATAGTGAATGCATTTTACTCAACACTGTAATTTGTAATTTAATATGTGCATAAGCCATAATGAAAATATCATTATAATTAACTTTGAATTACACAATCTTGCATCTTTTGTTTCAAAACTAAAGAACGCTTATTATAAAAGCTCTGCTTCAGTGTTTCACAGTGGTGTTCTCTGCCTTGATTTAACATGCTTGACTTACTGACTGAATCTGTTCTATTTCTGGCTCTCAGGACTGCTCTAAGTCTGTGGGGACTGAGAGGCTGAGTAGGACTACAGATGCACATCTGTGGAAGGTTTTATGCGTGAGGGTTTTTTTCCTGGTAAACTGGGAGATTATGATTGATGAGCCCAGCATTAGGGTAATGTTATCAGGGACACTTTCTGCCTCTGTCCTTTGTGCCATCGCCGAGGTCAGACCATAATCATGTTAGCATTGAACATAGTGCTTTATTAATGTTTCATGAGTAACTCCGTAGTAATCAGTCTAGCTTTGTATGGATAAATAAAACTGCTACAACAATCCCTGATGGATACACTGAGTGCTTTAGAAACTACTGTAATAGGTCTTAAAAGAAACTTGACTGAATGTCTTTTCCAGTCTTTATAATAAGTCTAATTTTCACAAGTTTAAAGGAATCTCTTTTGATGGAAAAATCATTTCCACTGCCATTTCTGTGCTTAGTTAAAAGTGTAAAACACCCACTTGAACAATCAAATAAAACAACACCAAAATCTTGACTACCATTTATTAATTTGCACAGAATTTTAGCAAAGCTTGTTAACCAATTGGTTAAATTACATTGATTTATGTCACTGTGCCTCTGTGATGTTTTCTAGTCTGTACTCTACTTGCTTTGGAAAGTCTCAGGATGAAATGCTGAAATTTTTGCTGTTATTTACAGAAAATGTTTACATTCATAAATGTGCAAGTAGGCTGTATATAAGGATTTGTATTTACTCCCACATAAAATTACACATTACATATGCCTGCAGCAAGCAAAAAAGGTGTATGAACAGAAGAAAATATTGTCAGCTAGAGAAAAACAAGACCCCACTGTATGTTATGCAGTATCACATAGGATCCTTTCCACTGAAATGAAATGACTCCTGCTGATTTCATTAGACAAGGGATCAGGATAACACTTACTTGAAATATTCCTCAATTTTCTGTGGCTTTCCTGTAAACATGTTCTCTACTTGCTTTGCTAAATTGCTGTAGAAATTCCAGGCTTGCACAAGCTTGCTGTGTTTTACACGTCAGCACCACACCCAGGCTATTTTTTTTTTTCTTAAGATAGATTCTTGTATAACAGCCAAAGCTTGGCCTGGGGATGACCTGAGTAATGCATCCGCTGGCCAGTTCAAAACATGGAATCAGACATTAGGTGGGGAATGTCAAACTTTCCAATCCCTTTATATTTGTTCTTTACTTTGACCAGTCTAGTTCTAGTGACCAAAAAGTGAGTACTGGCAGTTTGCTGTATGTACTAATAAAACCCTCCGTGAGGAAGTTTTTCTGAAAAATTATTACACATTCAAATTATTACACTTTCAAAATGTAATTCCATTACTTCTTACTACATGTACTATCTGCATTTTTATGAAAGGGATTATCCTTCTCTAGCTACTTGCTATTTCATAATAAGCTTTATAAAAAACTATGCATGTATCATGCTCTTTAAGCATCCCAAAGTTATTCACTTTGTTCCTATCCTCTGAACTCCATCCAAATGTGAATACTCCTTCTGTCATCTAGTTGCCCAGAAGTGAATCCAATATTCCAGGTGCAGTCTCAAAAGGACCATAGACAGGTACAACTGTTTACATCCTCTCTGATGCAATGATTCTCCATAGATGGTATCAAAATACACTTATTTCTGGTGAATATAGAATTGCAGAGTTTTATCTAATCTAATTGCCGCTCATTGTCACCCTTCCCTCGCTACTGCTCTATTTTTGGTACTATTTTTGTTTCCAGACTTCTGCTTCCTATTGAATATCTTTATTCTTTCCTCCCGAGGTGATTTTCAGTGTATTTTCTGCATCTAATTCAAATAAATCTATGCCTCTTTCTCCTGTTTTCTAGTCAGTTCACAACTTTATTATCATTTGTGAACTTCATCAGACTGCTCACATGTATCTGCGGCGAACTGAATTTTAACTGCTGATCATGCTCTTGCTAAAAGTAGATGCTGGGATGAATAAAGGCTATGCAGAAACTGCCTCCAGGTAAAACTGTATAATAACGGCATGATGCTCACATCTGTGGGGACAGGGGTGGAAGACAGTATAGGAAGAGTATGATACATAAGTGAGATCATTTCTGATTTTAGAAATCTGCAAAGTACTCAATCAGCTGAAGCCTGTAATTCTAACACTACTCTAATTTTAACATCAGTTTGCGTGTCTTCTGGCAGTCTGAGCATACTTACACATGTATGGAATCAGTCATCAGTGTTATTACAGCTTAATATTTAAAAGGTATTTCCAGTTTTTAACTGTCAGCCTTTCTTGAAAGTATAGTCCTGAAGGGGTATAAATGCTATACTCTAAGTTCATGCAAGCAGCTGTTTTCTTCAACAGCACAGAACTTTTCTGTAGAGAGCTCCTATGCTATTTTCTAAAAAGTAGAAATTGCATGAGAGAAATCAAATAAACTAAAGATAAAGCTTTTCTTCAAGTGATTTCTTATCACATAGTCCCTTTTATCCTCCTGTTCATCATTCCATCTTTGTGGAAAGGAAAGGTGGAGAAAACACTACTTAGGATACAAGAAGGGACATTCTTTATAAAATTTCCCAAGGGGAGTCATTAATATGCATCTCTCACTCTATTCCCCAATAGGTGGCAGTTCGTTTATCCTTTTTCACTAAGGTATCACACTTCTGTTCTTACAGATGTCAAGACGAAACCTCTTGGTCCACTTCAGTGTGCTTGCTCCTGGGCCCAGCTCAGGTTTAGCCACAACCACAATCCAAAAAAGGGCTCTGTGCAGCGACATGGGCACTCCAGAGACATGTACCTGGGATTGCCCATCCCACACATGAGAACGTTAATAGAGTGTAATGATCCTTTGAGGCCACCACCTTCTTTGCTAGTAAAATTGCACTTGAATTTATTGACACCAGCTGTGACAATTATTTGTTTTTAGAAGGAATGTTACCACATATGCAGCTAGAAGAGAAATCAGCCAAGAAAAAGAAGGAAAATGTTGTTCAGCTTCTTCCTGCCAACGAAGGACTACTCCCTGGAATACATTTCTCATGCTTTGTGTAGTGCATTTCATATGTCTCAAGTGATGAGGTTGCCATCACTTCCTTAGGAGACTGCTGTACATATGTCAAACCATTTACTCTTCTAAATGGAGAACGCTTCTAAATCACATACATCTAGGAATAGATTTGTTTTTATAATATTATTCTGTTCCTTTGAACTTCATATGGCTATTTTTTCTATCAACTCCCGAAGAACAATTTTCTTTAAACAGATAGTTCTTGAAATGAAATTGCAAAATTGATTAGAAGAAAACCACCACTGCTAGACTTAAAATGCTACCACAAAAGCACTACAGGGAATAATGCACAAGCTGAATAGTTCTGCAACTGCAGCTTATTGAAAGTATAGTCCTGGCTTTATAAGTAAGACAAGCAATATGCATTTTAAGGAAGACCCATTTCCAGAACAGAACCATAAACTGAAATATTGCTGGCCAAAACATCAGAATATACCTTGTTTTTCCTAAAAATGACTAGAAACATACATATGTATTAACTCTATCATTAATAAAATAATTATCTATCAAATTAAAGCAAAAAGTACACAGCTTAGATAAAGGTTTTTCATGCTTAAATTCTGCAGACTTCATAGTGCTTTACACCAGAGCAGTTGTTTTGCAAAATTTCTTCAGAGACTGCAAGTGTTGGCTCATGTCCACATTTCTATACTTCCAGTTCGTCTCTGATGAATAGGAAGTGCATAGCTTCAGTCGACTAAGGAAAATATTATATCATGCAAGTACTAGCATTTATAATAACCTTTTATTTTTTTGATGTATAAGGTAGTGAGGAGGAACAGACTTAAATTTTTCAGGCTCTCCTGTATTGCCCAGCTCATGCCCATCTGATGCTTTCTCATGAGAGACTAAATAACTGAATTTCATTGTCCATGATTTGGGCACATGGAAGGAAAATTCACTGTAAAATAAAGGGCTCTGTCGAGCAAGACAGAATGCAAATTCTCCTTCTCTTTTTATTTTCTTTCTATAAATCTAGCTCTAAAGAGATGAAAAACAGCATTAGGTTAGCTTGTTAAAACACAGAACTCCTTACTTAGGCTAAAATAAAGTGCAGCTTACCATCCTGTTGATACGGACAAAGTCTTCAGGTTTCTTGGCCCATGGTGGGAGATCAACGTCATTCACAACAACTTCATCTTCCCTGATTCCTAGATTATAGCCATTACTGTTGACAAACATCTCTGGTAGGTAGTAAAATTCTGGAATTAACTCCTAGCAAGGAGAAAACACACAATGAGACTTCATATTTAGACAGAGATGCTAAATGGTGCTGCCAGAATCAGGCGCTGTTGTAGTACACATTAAAGCATTCCTGGTTTCGTTTATGTTTCTATGTACTTGTTTAAGAAATTTTATCATCTGTTTTCTTGTACTTACAGTCACAGTATTCATAATGAAATATTCGAACTTCATTTTTCCCATATCTGCTTTTATGAAAAGCATAACTTTGGAAAAGCAGTGCATATCCATAAAGGAGACCTCTTCAGAATAACAGGGACAAGAAACTGCATGCTAAACCTTCAATACTATAAATATGTTGGATTTTTTAATCACTATTTAACTAAACAACTTAAAAGAGGGAGAAAAGTTGCTGATATAACACTGTCTTGATTTTACTTTCTCTATATTCTTTAATTGCATAAGAAAAGGTGGCAATTTGATTACCTATATAAAGAAAAAAGAATTCAAGGTGAATGAATTTTTCTGCTGTAAGAAAAACTCAAAAATACATGAAGAGAAAAATGTCAGTACAACAAATGTCCTTGAAACACAAATACATGACATTTAAACTGTGAAAGATCAAGAACTGAGTAGCAGAGATCATTTGCGGTGTATTAATGTACAATATAGATAAGTTAAGGTGTGAAACTTTTCCCCCATTTCCAGGATAGCTAAATAGAAAGTCATTTTTACATTATAAATATCACCATTTGTTGCTGTCTATTATTTTAGCAGTAAGTATTGAACTGCAATAACAAAAAAGCTTTAAAGCCCGCTATCTCTTTTCTAATATCCAGGTATGGATTACATTCACTAAATTACATTGTTAAAAGCGTTATAGCATTCATTTGTGTAACATGACCAAAACTGATGACACAGCACCTGAAACCTGAGTCTCTTTGTGGTCCTTTTAAAGGCTGCAGACATGCGAAGTATAAGAAAAAAATATATCACTGCAGACACAAATTTATCTAATTAAATCTGATCTGCAACTCCACAGAGAATAGAGCAGTTAAAACCTAGATGGTCCTTTCAAATTTATTAATTAAAAAAAAAAAAGGAGGATATTTATGTTACAATTTTAAGTATGTTTAGGAAGGCAATTCGCTTGCTTCTTTACATAATTTTTAATATACAACAGTCTGAATTCAGATTAGACTAAAATGCAATGCCAATCAATACCTAACCAGTGCAAAACACTAAGCAAGTGAGACATGTCTGAGCTTCAATAGCTCCTTATGAAATGAGCTGTAATTTCAAAAAACCAAAAAAAATTTAAAATATTACATGCAGTAAATAATAAACCAGCAGCTAGAGTAAAGCCAAACTAAAAGCAATCCTGAATATCCTATAAGGTTCAAAGGAAAAAGATTATTTTACTGACAATCTTAACTTTGATTGTATACCTCTAATTTACTCAGAGTATTTCTAAAAGCAAAGTTCCCCCCTTTCCCCTAAAAAGGATTCACTAACTCTCAGGTTCCCAAGGAAGCCCTTTGGTTTTCTCTAACGATGTTGAAGGAAGAATGAACGATCCTTGCAGCTGGAGAAAACTAGACATTAATCTTTCTAGAGCTCAATAAACTACTGCTAACTTGGGACTAAGAGCTGACTACAACCCGACATGTGCTAACATACAAATCACCGACAAACTAAGAGCACTGCCTTCAAGAAAGGAAAAATTCACAGGGACCTCAGAATGATGAACTATTACTACATCAAAATTAAATTAAAAGTCAATATTCAAATGAAACAGAATTTATGAAAGAAAAAATAAGCAAAGTTTATTTCTATTTTGTATAAAAGCCTTGAAACACATACTGCTGTTTTTAATTATTACCATTTTTTATGCAACATGGTGGTGTACTAACCTGTAATGTCAAATAGCAAGCAAGTTTTTGATTCCATCAAAGATACATTAACTCTTACATTTCCTTCTTCAGTTTTAAATGTCCTAGGATCTAATTGTAAACTTTTACATCTAATGTATCTGAAAGATTTGTGCTACCCAGAGACACATCTAGTGTTTAACTGAATGCTACTAACCTTCTGACTTCAGGAGAAACTTGAAACAAAGGGATTTAAGTCACTTAATATTTTTAATGGTATTTCCATTTAGTAATTTTATCTTTGTTGCTATTTGCTTTCAGTGTAATTTAATGTTCCCTTGTCTGGTACAGCAGAAAACATAAATAGAAATAGAACAAATAGAAAGCATGCAATTAACGTACTTCATAAGATTTATTGCGTTGTCCATGTTTCGTTTGACCTGTCTTATTCCTGTGCTCTGGAAACTAACCAGTGCCAAACTTCTAAATCCTCTTCAAATAACACTCTCTCTAGAACCCTAACCATTTCAGCTACACATCTCTTGGTTTTTGTTTGTTTGTTTTCATTCAAAGCAACAAAACTAAACATAATATTTTTTAAAAAGAATTATTAAACCCACTGTGTTATAGTCTCAGATTCTCTTCCATGTTATTTTTAGTGCAGCCTAGAATTTTCTTTGCTTATTTGAGCATGAATTTTTTGCTTATTTAGCATGTATTGAACCTTTTCTTGAGATACGAACAACGTCGCATGTGACCTTTCCCAGATACTTATGTATTTCCCATACTTTGCACTAACCATCCTGTTTTCTTTGGTAGCATTTGATATTCCTCTCGCAATTTTGTTGTCTCCACTATTGACTAGACTAAGAAACCACAACACTCAAAAATAGCTCAGATAGATCCATCCCCTTCTCATTTTTAGAGAAGAAATGAATATATACTAAAACACAGACCCGTTATGAAAACTTGTGGCATCCCATAAGTATGAACTCGCTAACATTTAGAAAAATCTTCAAAATGTGTATTTAGCTGCTTAGAAGCATAGAAAATACAATTAATCTAGAGAAGAGTGATAGAAAGGTTTGGTTTTGTGTGTTCACTGTTTATTCTCCTGTGAAAAAATGAAGTAGTTGTCTCTTCTACCTCATACCAACGGCAGACGTCAGGTGAGGATGGAAAGGCAAATATTCCCTTCCCAGGGCCCCTGAACATGCATCACTAGAGGAAGAACAAGCTGGGAGAAGCAGAGAGAGGAAGGATTAGCAAGGACAGAGCAGGCAGCAAGGACGGAGTCAGGGAGGTTGCTGGGAAAAGGAAGGAGCAGACAGGAGTGAACCTCAGCGGAGACAGCAAGACGACAACTGGGGCCCAGAGAGAATTGCTTTAACCAAGAAGCTACTGGAAGTTGCAAGAATGGACACAAGAAGGAAGGAAAGGATAACACTTGCAAGAGCTAGAGTTATTTTCAAAACCTATTTACATTTTTTCTCAGCCAGAGTTTGGGTTTTCTTGGTTTCATAAGTGGCTTTGTGCCAGTTCATATTCTAATAAAGATAATGGCTAAAGAGAGACAGCTCTTTTGGTGCTTTTCCTGATAAGGACAGGGAACAGATACCACAAATATCTGTGTCAGGGTCAGATTTGGAGAGGGGACCTTACCCATTCCTCTGTTCCAGAAGACGTTCAGCTCTACCGTCTTTCCTGTCAGATACCTGTCTACCCTGTTGTCCCAGAATTTGGGGCAACTCCACAATCCTTCCATCACCTGACTTCAGCATTCTTCATCTGAGGAATTTTTACCTGACACCTTGCCTGAATCTTTTGTTACACAATCTAAACCCATTTTCTCTTGTCCTAGCTATAAATCCACCCCAGATACAGAGAAAAAATTACTGTTTTCCCTTTGTACAGTTTATTACATGTTTGGAAAGCATTATCCTACCAGTTTTACAGCCTTTCAGCTCATAAAAGTCCAAACGAAGGACAATGATTTTACCTTCCATATTGCTACATTGTTTAAGTTTTAATTACAGATGTGTAAAATATTCTTTTAATGTCTCCAAATTAACTAGTAGAATTATTTCTAAACAGTGCATAACTTAATCTACTCCTATATATACTTTGGCCTTATTATATTTTGTTACGTGTTCATCACACAGAAGCCAAAATAAATGTTTTTATCAACCTCTGTGGTCTTTAGATCAGAGATTAAGATTGCATACTTTTCTGATAAGGTCTGCTATTTTTCATTCATTTTTATGCACAGCATAATTTGCTTCTTACAAATCACCAGCTTCATACTTTAGAAGGGTCATCGTTAAGATAGGGACAAGGGGACTCAGAAATTAGCTAGGGAAAAATGTATCTCAGGGATGCTATTTACACCAGGGGATGGGACACAGAGGACCTTCTGTCTCCAAATCTGCTTTCCACTTGACAGAATAGTTGATAAGTGGATCCTTTAAAACTCCTATAGCACTTTCAGTGGCACTAGTGGTAAAAGGTCAATGCAAAGCCAGGTCTATGCAAAGGAATGTTTGTTTGAAGCTACCATGATTTTGAGAAGTTTATGTTTCAGGCTACAAACGTTCATGAAAGACAAAGCTCAAAATATTTTCTTCCTACACTACAAACATTGAGTCAGCCAGTGTAAATCAAGACATGAAGGAAAACATCAAAAATAACAACATAAAAAAAGCTTCCCCAGAAGTTACATCAGTTTGCAGGCATAAAATGAGGGAATGCAAACAAAAAAGACACAGAAGAACAACATTTTTTAAAAGTCCAGTATTTTTAAAATATTCACAGACCAACTAAGCATTTTAGCTGCATATTGTTATTGTATGCCATTCAGCTGATACATAATTTTGCATTAACTGATACAATTCAGTAAGTTTTATTGGTTTCTTTGCTCTTGCCAAAACATATCAAAGCTTCTAAATAAATCTTTCTGACTACATAACCTGTCATGGGTAATTTCTTACCACAATAAATATCTAGAGTTCAAAGAGTTAATAAAAATAGGGTTTCTAGTGATCTAAATCTATTTGCAGTAATTTCTGTCTAGTTGTCCCTGACATTTCACAAGCTGGTAACCTCCTCTGCTCCCCTTTCATTCACACTTCTAATAAGACAGGTTAGCTTTCTATCATTTAATAG